TATAACAAATACATATATCTACATATTTTTTGCATTATAGCAAAAATAACGTCAATCTTATGCGACCGCGTTTTTAAATTACTTTTTGGACGAACTTCAGCATTCGTTCTATTAGCTCGTCTACTCTACTATGAACAAAATGTGCAAAAAAAAATGAATATATCAGTAAGAAAATACATATATCAATAAGAAAACTATAATTGAGGCAAAAATCAGGCAGAAAAAATCCAGGGGTTTTCGAGGTCGCCGATTACGAATCTACAGTCAAAAAAAGAAATAGAAAAAAATTGAACTAAATTGTTAAAATTAAATTATTGTCTAAAAAATGTTTTAGGCAACGATTTAATAGTTTCATGGGAGTTATAATTTTCATTTTTTATCTGAGCTCCATTTTTACATTATCAAAAGGAAGAAAGATTAATACAATCTGTATAATGAATTCTGATCAACATGATACAAAAGAGATCTCAGCACCAAAGTCGCAAGTTTACAATCAAGTCTTACATTAACGCAAGCTGTCGCAAAAATGTTGCGCCTAATTAAAGTACAATTCTTTTATTAAAAATTCATTCGTGTGAAACTCGTGTTCTACTAAAATCGACAGTGATACTATTGATTTAACAAACGTTTCCTGTTTCAAATTTCTCAGCTACTCTCAATACTGTTTAAAAGGTGATGCGATTTTAGGTAAAAACACAGTTATTTTTGTTCTCTTTTTAACTTGCATACTACATTTTTAGAACAAATTGAAGATATTCAGAGATTTTAGTAGTCATATATCCTACTATAGAACTGCAAGGAAAAATTACTTTTTTCTTGCTTTAAGCCACTGTGGCACCGCACGGTCGTACGTACATGGTCCGGTACAGGGATGCACTAAAGACCTCGACCATGCTCGGCACGTAATTTTACATTAGTCGCATATTGAAATTTCCAGAAATTTTCCTCGAGAAATAGCTCTGAATTGACGCTAGTATGCGCATGGCCTACTGCGGACCACGTGGTCCGGTGGAGACGGTTTCTACCATCGAAACGAACGGAGAAGTGACGTTGCATTTCTGCAACATCACAACACTTCCCCCCTCCCGGCCCCCTAAACGGGACCGGACTACACCACTACACACCACTCATACAATCTTCATGATTCCTACGGTGACTAGGAGAGCAATTCTCGTCGGAAGCTTCCCTCCGCAACGAGAATCCATCCACCAACCGAACCAACACTCAACAATCACATTACTTACTCGGTCATAAATTGAGCCGTTTATTTCGAAAGTGGCACAAGTCACTTTTTCAACAAAATCGAGTTAATGGTAACACTAATTACAATTGAACGGTATCTTTTCAGTTTTTAAAAATTTGCAATCAATGAGTTGAGAACTATTGAGATTTGTTCGAGAGAAGTTTTGCTAATTAACGGTATAACAAACATGTTTATTTTGAAAGTGGCGTAAGTCGCTGTACTCAGGAAATTAATTGCGGGACTTAGTGTAAAGGAAATAGAAACGTGTGATAAGTGTGTGTGAAGTACTGTTTTTAATTATTTTCAGTATTTTAAAAAAAGTTGTGATCACTGGACTTACTTTTATAAGTGCGAAAGAATAGTGCAGTTTTGTAAATTATATTATAGTGATGTGGCGGCTACCTCCAGATCCGCTAGCAGATGGCTATAAAATGTTTTATAAACTAACTTTAGATGAAAAAGATGAATTTCTAACTTTGGATTTGTCACCAAAAAGAGGAAGACCTAGGCGTTATTCACAAATAGAAATGGATCCGTTATACGCTGGATCTCGTCCTGTTTCTTCAGCAAAATACAAAGACATGATGGACTTGCTTAATTATATACCCCCAATTTACCACAGTTATTTAAAAAATTTGAAACAAAACACGATTTCCGAGGACTTAATCACTCCTATTGATGACGAAAATTAAATTGAACTGATGTATTTTCATATAAATTACTTATACTTATGTTTCAAAATGTACTAATTATTTTTGTATTTTATGAATATTAAAATAAAAAATACTTAAATCAAACCTTTATATTAAATATGTTCATGGTATAAATTATTATTATATATGTAATTTATTCAACAATTTTAGTAAATCACTGTCCTTTCAAAACATCACTTCAGTAAAATACGTCGGACAAAATTAATATATGTCAGCCATTTTTCTAAACTATTTATTTTGAAAGTGGCTTAAGTCACTTTACCGTAATGAAAAGTGGTGATTTTTTAATGTTTATACGAAATTATTTATACTGAGAAAAATATCAGTATCCTGAGATAACAGATACAAGTAAATCTTCTCGAAAGTTAGCATCCATATTTTTAAACGTGTTAAAACGCAAACCCTTAAATATATCGACTTAAAAACAAAGTGGCTTATGCCACTTTCAAAATAAACGGCTCAATTGTAACGGGAAGGTCCCAGAGACCGACCTCCGCGATATCGCGATACAATTCGATCGGCCAGGGCCGAGATGTCCTAGGAAAGCACGGAGGACGTGGCCACATAGTGGGAGCAGCCCTCCACCTCGCGCTCCAAATCCGAATAGGGCAACTGAGGTAATTCCGCGGGGTCGGCCCAAGGGTGGTCTGGTAGAACTTACTCCCTCTCCAATCTCCCACGAAACCCGCAATAGCCGCAGGACTAACTACCATTTGTTAAAGGCTTTTGGGGAGCAAGACTGAAATACAAATATTTGCGACATTTTTGTGCAATGCAATAATTAATTTAACGAGGGGTAATCTTCCGATACTCCTCCGGCTAATAAATAATAATTTGTGGACCTAATGTTCATCTATACATTAGTATTGCGATATTTTATAAGAACTTTTAGTTTATTTTTATAGTTATTTTTAAGTTCCGCTATAATTCTGTATGCCTTATAAATAAACACTTTACAAACAAACAAACAAACCTGCCGCAGACTCATCGGCCATTTTCGGACACCCGGTATACCCGGCGGTTGAGTTTTTCTAGCCGTGCTTCCTTAACGTCAAAATTCGATCCTTACAACGGCGCGGCCTCGGCTCCGCGCGCTTTGTTTACGCAACGACGCGTCCTAGTCCCGGCAACCTACCAACGTTCCCAATGGAATTCGAACGCACGAAATAGTGTGAATAGACGAACTCAACATATAAACGAAATTCGGATTTATACGAAATTTTTCAAGGTAGAGAATTCGGTGTACAATACAAACCATTCTCTAATTACAAACTATTGAATCATGAAAAACGTTACGTGGTACGACACAATTCAATTATGCTAAATTTTCCTAAAAATGCGTTCGATGACCAAAGAGAAAGGGTACAAAAATAATAAACAGTACGAATATATACAGTTACTCACAAAATTAAGCGTATACCTTTTAGAACGCAATAACTATTTTAAAGCTGGACTAGGTGACTTGAATTCTTTTTAGATGATAGAGAGACTAGTCTAGTAGACGATAATTGCCTTTAAAATGCTTTTTTTTAAATTTTGTTATCACTAGGAATGACAAAAAAGAATTAAAAAACCCTTTTTATTTTACTTTTTCATCTGAGTCTATGAAGAAAATTTAAACAATGTGTTTTGTAGATCTCGGTTAAAAGACTTAGTAAAATTAAAATAATTTCAAATATATCAACTTTTCGTACCATTTTTCATCCAACACTTAACCCTTTGCGGACGAGAGGCAGGACGAATGGCGAGTGAGAGGCGACAGTCGGTATTTATGTTAGATTTTATTATCTCTAACATTATTCAACGTACTGTTTTATGAGAAAGTCCCTGAAGTGCTGGCGCAAATTATTTTTCCGTGGACTGGAAATTTGTTTAATCAATTCGAACATACTCTACAAACATGTAAAAAGGCAGAGAAACGAACAGCCAGTTACACGTTTGAACTTTCGCAAAATTTTGATCAACAAATTGCGAGGAGATTTTCGTCAACCACGAGATAGATCTTCAAGTTCGATGGCCAACTCTGACGAAATTCGTCTGAACGGAAAACTGCATGTAATTGTTACTGGCGCAAAGAAAGATTGCAAAGTTTGTTCCAGTCGAAACAAACCAGAGGGAAGACATGGGACGACCTATTTCTATGATACATGTCCAGATAAACCAAGAATGCATCTTGGTCAATGTTTTATAAACTATCACACTAAACGAAACTACAAATCATAATTTTTGTAAAATTATATTCATAACAGTGTGAATATAGATAAACTAACGAAATATAACGTTTTTGTAAGATAATTTATATGTAAGATCACTTTATTGTACCATATAAGAGACACTCGACATATTTGCAAAAATCACCTCGTCCTGCTACCTGACTCTGCCGAAAAAGTCGTCGTCCGCTAAGGGTGAAACGACATTTTCTTCCATCCAACACTTAATCCGTCAGCGGTTCAAATACAAAACGATAAGTTTGTTAACCCATGCACAGCAAACAGCGATACTAAGAAATACTGTGATGAAAGAAAAGAACATTTTGATTGCAACGCGACGTCGTGCAATTGTAAAACCAAACCACGAAGTATGAAAGTATCGCCAATGCAATTTGTGTTGTAAATCTTCATAATTTTGTTCGTACGAATTCGAACACTCGAATTTCTCCAACTTTTAATTAACCTTTTCGTTGGTAATAAATAAATAAGAGAAATGCCAATGAAAGAACTTCGTCTCGACAATTCGCGAGTAACTGAAATGTGTAAAACGGTTTCCTATTCTTGGGGAAAAGAATCAATTCTTAGAAAAATTGAACAGTAGAAAATCGATAAAGAAACAGTAAAAAATCTTTCTGAACGGAAGAATTGATTCTTTCAAGAATCGAATCGTAATCGAACATCTCTAGTGTATAATGTATATTCGATTGTACACAGATATGAACGACACTACAGACAAGCAAATCGCTGCTTCTCTTCCCCTATACGTGATGTGAGATGGTGGTGGGGTTATAGCTCAGACGCGTATAAATACAAAAGTTTCGCGACGATCGGGCAGTGTGCACAGTCAATCGAAATGTTAAACAAGGTTGCTATTGTATGTCGCGGGCATGCGAACTGCATGCAAGAAAATCTGGTTGCTCTGTTCGAGATGGTATTTAACTGACTGTATTTTATTTGCACAAGGGAGAAGTTTAGTACACAAATTAATTCTCTCCGCAAATAACGAATTTACAAAGTTACAATCGACATTCCGGAAAAGAAGTGCACAGAGTTCAGTAAACTAATCGTGCTAGTGGACATAAGCAACAATGGAACAGTGCGATGCTCGCGTCGCTTCTGCAGAACAGTTTTTTCGAACCAATGGAAATAGATATTACAGAAGGTAAAGTCATAATAAAATTGATAAAATAATATAATATAGCGAGTAGAAGAAGTATTCGTACACTTGTTAAAACAGAATAACTTTTTCATAATTAGTCCAACACATTGCAATTTTGGAAAATAATTTTTTAGCCATTGTCTGGTAAAGAAAAATCATTCTAGCATCCCTAAGAACATTTCGGCCGCTTGGCCCAATTACAAGAAAATAAAATATAAAATAATGAGTCAAACTCGAGTGATTATAACCTTCCCGATTTGTTTTAGCACCAAATTCATCCATACTAATAACCACAATATGTTTTTAATTCCAGCTTTTCCTCTTTTCCTGCTTTTGGAAACAAAGTTTGGACTCAGTTATAATTTATAATTTATCATTATATAAATTTGGCGGCTGTTCGGATGTCGTGGAAGTGGAAAGGGAGTGAGGAGACGTTTCGTCCGGGGCCCGCTAGAGGACTCATCGGTAAGGCTAGCGGGCCCTTGCCTTAGACGTAAGGGTAGGACGAAGTCTCGGTGTATATAGAGGGATCGGAACGGATTGGCTACTAGCGGGAAGAGGAGCCCTCTGCTGGCAAGTCTGGAGGTAGCCGCCACATAAATATAATTAAATAATATGAAAATATTAAATATTAATATTTAAATAATATAAAAATATTAAATATTAATATTTAAATAATATGAAAATATTAAATATTAATATAAAAAAAATATATATTAAATATATAAATAATATAATTATATTATATTAATTTTATAGTATTATCGAATGTTCCGGAGATACAGCCACTCCAGAGGGCAACAGAGAGACATTGTTCGCTACACCGGAGCTATTCATCCCAGTGGTTCAACAGAGAAGTCCGAATGAAGTTAATCGAGTCAAACTCGAGTGATACATCTGAACTAATTGATCTTTTCCTGGAAATCCTCCGCCGTCGATATACGTATCGCCAGTGATGCTTCCCGAAGGAGACCACTGAGCACCGAGCTGTATTATTGAGTAAGACAGCATTCAAATAACTTTTCAAAAATTCGGTCAAATGATTCGAATTTCTTTTTTTTTAGATAATGTACTAACTTACTAGACTTTAGCTATAATATTTCTTTGAAATTTTGCTATTACTTGAAACGACAAAAACAAATAGAAAACTCATCTTTTTACTCTTTTTGATCTGAGCCCGTAACGAAAATCTAAAGAAACGCATTTTGTAGATTTCAGAAACGAATCTGACGGAATTCCAAGCAGCTGGACCCTCGCATGCCCATACTAACCATGATCCAGGTGTGTATATAGGCGTGTGGCACCTCGCTGGCGTTGGAAGCAACGCGAGAGAATTCAATGGCAGAAGACAGGAGCGACGATGATAATAAATAAAGTTTTTCTTGCAGATCCCGAGTCCATGGCGGCAAGCAATTACATTATAATGGAGGCACCTACATAGACGGTCGTACAATTTCCCAATGATTATTCAGTCATCCAAATTAAATGGAAATCCTAAACGAAGACGATAGTCGGTGGAAGAAAATTTTGTCTTAACGTTTTTCGTAATTGGAATTCACTCTGTGCACGGAGGAGGGTTATCTTGCAATTTGGAGACATTTTGTAAAGTTCAGATGAGTTTGTACATGGTGCAAGTAAAATATATTAACAAATACATTCATTTAAATCAACTGAAATTTATCTTATAATAGTATATGATATTGAAATTGATAGTATCGACAGTTTTGTTCCGAATGTTGACATTCTCGATCAATAGTTATCAGAAATCTGTAGTTTTTTAAATCTTTTAACGCTCGTACAAATCAACAATGAACAAATCAACTTCTCCAATTGATAATTATTCAATTTGTATTGTTTAAGGAAAGCCTCAGAGAAATGAATAAATTAATGAAATTGAATAAATATTTTAGTTACTATGAATATTTGAAGTTGAGTGTTTTGAAAGTAGAATATTTCGCCTGACGGAATTCCTCACGTTCTTCGTGATGTCCTGATCATCGTGTTTCATATTTTCTCTCAGTCCTTTTATATTATAAAATATCACACCTTCCTAATAAGAAATCACATATATTTTTATTCATTACTAACAATAATATATTTAAAAAAATAGCACTGATTGATACGTGATAAATTAAAGAAATTTCCTATATTTAAGAGAGGATAACTTTGAAACGCCCACAAACTCTGTGATCTAGCAAAAAAGATATTTCCTATACAGCTTCCTTTAAATAACTGTGAAAGGATCATTTTTTGGCGATCTTTAATTGCTTAAAGCTCATACGAACGTCAACCGATTTCGATGAAATTTTCAACGTGCATGTTACTTACCGAGATCTACAAAACGCATTTTTTAAACTTTCGTTGTAAGCTTAGATAAAAAAGTTAAAAGCGGGTTGTTTTGTAATTAATATTTGTCAGCAATATTGTAACAATGTATATATCAGTCATAGACTAACATACTAGTCCCTCTATCATCTAAACAAAATTCGAATCGTTTCTTCGAGTTTTAAACAAGTTATTACGTTTTAAAAAGTGTCCGAATATTAATGGGAGTCACTGTCTAAAGGGTGATTCACGGAACAGTAACGAGCTATATCTTTGTTTTGGTTGAAGTTAGGAAAAAATGTTAGAGGACAAGGGCTAATGGATTTAAAGAGGGGTCCTAATGCGAAATAAGTAGTCTTTCCCTAGGTGGGCGCGTAAAGGTCATGTAAAGATCATCGTCTTTTTTTCAAATGGATACATACATTTTTTCCATATATATTGAATTCTTTCTTCATTCTGCGTATAAAAGTGTTAGGTTAATATTGTCGAAAAATGAATAGTTAAGACGATTTTAAAAAAGTTTATTATTTATAATTTTAAAAAAACGTCGATGACCTTTACGCGTCCCCCAAAGGGAAAATTATTTATTTCACACTATGATCTCTTTAAGACCATTCATCTTCCTCCTCTAACATTTTTTCCAAACTTGAACCAAAACGAAGATATAATTCCGTGAATCACCCTGTATAATTGAGCCGTTTATTTTGAAAGTGGCATAAGTCACTTTGTATTTAAGTCGATATATTTAAGGGTTTGCGTTTTAACACGTTTAAAAATATGGATGCTAACTTTCGAGAAGATTTACTTGTATCTGTTATCTCAGGATACTGATATTTTTCTCAGTATAAATAATTTCGTATAAACATTAAAAAATCACCACTTTTCATTACGGTAAAGTGACTTAAGCCACTTTCAAAATAAATAGTTTAGAAAAATGACTGACATATATTAATTTTGTCCGACGTATTTTACCGAAGTGATGTTTTGAAAGGACAGTGATTTACTAAAATTGTTGAATAAATTACATATATATAATAATAATTTATACCATGAACATATTTAATATAAAGGTTTGATTTAAGTATTTTTTATTTTAATATTCATAAAATACAAAAATAATTAGTACATTTTGAAACATAAGTATAAGTAATTTATATGAAAATACATCAGTTCAATTTAATTTTCGTCATCAATAGGAGTGATTAAGTCCTCGGAAATCGTGTTTTGTTTCAAATTTTTTAAATAACTGTGGTATATTGGGGGTATATAATTAAGCAAGTCCATCATGTCTTTGTATTTTGCTGAAGAAACAGGACGAGATCCAGCGTATAACGGATCCATTTCTATTTGTGAATAACGCCTAGGTCTTCCTCTTTTTGGTGACTAATCCAAAGTTAGAAATTCATCTTTTTCATCTAAAGTTAGTTTATAAAACATTTTATAGCCATCTGCTGGCGGGTCTGGAGGTAGCCGCCACATCACTATAATATAATTTACAAAACTGCACTATTCTTTCGCACTTATAAAAATAAGTCCAGTGATCGCAACTTTTTTAAAAATACTGAAAATAAATCAGAACAATACTTCACACACACTTATCACACGTTTCTATTTCTTTTACACTAAGCCCCGCAATTAATTTCCAGAGTACAGCGACTTACGCCACTTTGAAAATAAACATGATTGTTATACCGTTAATTAGCAAAACTTCTCTCGAACAAATCTCAATAGTTCTCAACTTATTGATTGCAAATTTTTAAAAATGAAAAGATACCGTTCAATTGTAATTAGTGTTACCATTAACTCGATTTGTTTGAAAAAGTGACTTATGCCACTTTCAAAATAAACGGCTCAATTATTGGTTTCCTTGTCAGTGGTGCCGAAGCTGGTAACTGATGTAAAACTTGTAGCGCGTGACGTATCATTTAGGAGTCGTTTTTTTCCAATCGTAAATTGCTATCCGATAGTGTCCCGTTGATGACACTCGATAGTGTTTAGGTGGAGCTTATTGACAAATAACAGTTACTTGCACGAATTGACCGGAAACGGCCAGGACGGGAGATTGCTGCCACCGTGAAGTTCCTGTCACGAACAGAACCGTCCTGGCGAGTAAATCGTCTCGGTCACGGGATGGGTTTTACGTGCCAGGGGACCCGTGACCACGTAAACTTCCATGGAAGACGCTCGACGAAGCTCCGCGACAGGCTACCAGGGTTAACGGTCATCATTATCCTCGCCGGTGGCTACGCTCCTCGAGGAAATTACCGGCTATTTCTGGATTATGTGGTGCAATTATGACGTCAAGGAGTTTAAGGCGTTGTCCGTCAAGGTCTGTTCGTTTTGTTCTGTCTGGAATTTGTTTGGTCGTTGTTGATGACTATAAGATGGATCACGAGAGTACAACGGGTATCAGGAGCTTTCTCTATAAATCGAGATACAACAGGGTAAAGTTTTCCTAACATCAGATCAGCTTACCTCTATTACAGAACTCCTGAATGCCGTTAGTATTAGGTAACTTTAGTCTGTAACTTGGCTACGTCATCGTAACAACTTCCTCTTCGAATAATTTACTCGTAAGCAAATCGCTGATAGAAGAACGTCGTGTTTTGTTAATCCTGCGATTTTCTGTTACAATTTAGTAGATTTAAAGAACAATGAACGAGTGTAATGTTTTCTGCTAAACTTGGCAAACTGACGTGAAAATGCTTGGAAGTTTGTAAATGTTTGTTCTAGAAGGCCGTACATTTGGATGGCTCAGAAGCCAATCGGTGTAAATCCATTAACATTAAAATTGAAAGAAATAAGGATTTTGTAAATTATCTGTAAAATATAACAATGCCACTAATAATTTAAGGCACAATTGTTTACAATTTTTATTACTATTTAATTACTTCATCTGAGTTTTTTTATTTGTATTTCTTTTATAACTTTTTTTTTTATTTCTTCTAG